CATATTACAAATTTAAGTCACGAACTGCACAGACACATGGTTAATAAAATGGACAAAAACAAAAAAGGAAAAAAAAAAAAAAAAAGCACTGGGTGAATGTACTTTGAGGCCATAAACGGTATATATAATGGACATAGTTAACCCGCTAGCTGCTGAGTCCCAAGTAGGAAGTGACCATGGGCACACTTCCAGCTCCGATGACCCTGGTTGCAATTCACTTTGTGCTGAAAAAAAAAAAAAAAATGTCATCCCTGTCTTTGCAAATGCTGTTGGCTGTAGCCAGGCTGGTGCCACCTAGTGCCCCCACTCAATTTCATTTCTCTCCAGCAACTACGTCAGGAATCAGAATATACTAGACTGTTTGCAAGAACAAGTGTGAGTCCGGGCACCAGCAAATCAGCAAAGAGCCATACATTGTGTGTTGGCAACGATTCCCGAGATCGAGGATTTAAAGCCGGAACACAGAGAATGTTTGGTGAATTTTATCAAGGGGAAAGAAGTTATTGCCCTTCTTCCAACAGGATTTGGGAAAAGCTTAATATACCAGTTATCCCCATTAGCGGTGCATTACATACGTCACGACCAAACAGCAGCGATTGGTTAAATTTTAAAAAAGTACCCGCATACCATTGCGCAAAAGTTTTCGGGAACTGAATCCGGCTGATGAATCAGGCTAGTCCAGCTCCTCTTTTGATCTTAAAATGTTTGTATTAACCAGCTCAACATGATCTTGGTGTTTTTATTTTACTATTTCGTTCTTAAAACTGCTAGCCTTGTGAGCTTTGTTTGACTGGAGCCGAACGCTATGGTGATGTCACACTTTCTTAGTCCACTTTTTAATACAGTCTACATTTGAGGCAAAGGAAAAACTGAGATATAAAAATGTAAATAAATGAGACAGAATGCCTGAATACTGCTGTTCCACTCTCGTCCCTTTAGTCACTGGCTCTTACTGCGGTGACACTGAGAGCCTCCAACTCATTTCACATGACTCATGGTGGATTCGATCAGGACGACACAAAACAAATGCTAAATGTGAACTAAAAATGATTCACTTTGCCATAAGCTACAGTTGAAAATGTGATGACAACATGAGACTATTTGGGCGAGTGGGTTGTCCAGCGCTACAGGGCAATGAACGCTGACTGAATCACATTTGAATTTTTTACCCCATAAACACATGTACAAGTTACGTAATCACAGTTTATTGAAATATTGATCTGACAGTCTGTCTGAGACACATGGACACTGTTTATCCAACATATGGTCAGGGAAAAAAACAATATGGGAATTGTTAATGTAATATGATTCAACTGCTGCTAAATCTTCAGGATGAGTTTAAGTAGTAGTAATAGTAGTTTATTCGGTCATTTTGCTGCACTATGAAACAAAACATAGGCTGCACTCCCTTAGATCATGACCGAAAGGGTTTAGGCTGAAGTAAAAGGTTCTTATAAAGCCTAACCCTATTAAACAATGACAGAATTCCAAGAAAAAAACAGTGTATGAACAGCAAGTTAACATTTCCAATTACTGTATATATAAGAGACAAAATATAAATTAAAACAACCAAAATTTAATGCATAAATCGTTCATTACAGAGCTCTATCTTCCAAAACATAATGCTTTATACTCTTTTACAGTAGGCTTCTATAGTATTAGACTTTTTCAAATCATCAGTCAGGTTATTCCATATACTAACCCCTCTAACAGAGATACAATCACTTGAAGTAAAGCGAAGTCAAGACTGATAATTGAGAATGTTTTGTTCTGTCCATCAGCTATCTTCAGTGAAAATATTATGACTAGGGTGAACATTTATATACATTTCAGGCGAGACTGAACAATGCAGCGAGTGCTTACCAAAAGCACCACTGCCTGCCTCATATTTAACTTTATATTTTACGGAAATCTAAAAATCCAAATAAATCTTGAGCAAATATGTGAGCCAATGGAAACTGAGCTGGTCACGTCCCGCCCTGGGCTGCGTGCTCCGTGCTGAGGCCTGAAGGAGCAGTTTGGATTTTAATAAAAGCTGCAGCAGATGGCGATGTGATCTGAGACACACAGATAAGAGGCACCAGTACCTCTCTCACTCTCAGATCCACTCATCTCAGCACCAGCCTGGTACGCACTGTGCTCCCTCTTATTACTGCTGTTAGCTCCACGCTCATGCATCCTTCACCAGCCTGTCAAATTACTGCCCTTTTTCAATTTCACCTCTAAGGTCAGTTTTTATCCAGCCCATGCCACCACAGTGGGAATATTATTCATTGTATTCGGAGTATTCCAGTTACACATGTGTCACAGTGTAGCCCTTGTACTAGTTCCAAGTTTCGATAACTATAATCAACATGTAAATACACAGCACAGACAAAAGTGGTTATTTCATAAAGGAAAACTTTTCTGTCCTAAAAAATCCTGACAATTCTTAAGGCAAGAAGAGTTGGAATGGAGTAGAGATAGACCAGTATAATATATATATATATATATGAACTTTTTAGCACCTTGGATATCAGCCTTGAATCTCCTGTACATTTATTTATTTCTCCTGTCTATTTTGTTTTGGTCGATTTGCTGCCTAAAAATAGACACACAGCTTTATTTTAACATTTTAATACAAAGAGAAAACTGCAGAAAACATGACTACACAGCTCTCTTGTGAGTTTGTGGTAAAAAAAAAAAAAAAAAAAAGGTCTGAGGGTGAGTTTGTAGTAAACTGACATTACATAATTTCGGGAAAACTATCAAAATCGGCAGAGCTTATCAGCCAGTGCTTTCTGAGGATTCTAAACAATTGGCATCTGCAATGAAAAAAAACATATCAGTCGGTCTCTATATTTGAGTAAAATGTTAGCATAATATGGCTCTTTTATGCCATATTTCAGAGCCCCAGAAACAGCTATCTCTGAGTGTGTCCTGCCTTGTGCTAAAATCTGATGCCTCCCAGATAAAGATGACAATATTCCAGTGCGCACAGACACAGTGTTATTTCTACCAGAGCAGACAGGGGACAAATGGAGTCTGATAGGATCATCACTCATCCAGCATCTCGTCCTCATTCAGAAAGCATCCATTTGGACAGAGCCTCATCCATAAGAGCAGTGATCATGTGTGGGGCCTGTGGGCAGTGACTGGGGCTAAATGAGCAGAAGGAGCAGGTCCACAGATGGAGATATGGAGAGGCTCAGAGTGGCCCCGAGGCACTCGAAGACACAAGTCTGAGTTAGGAACATAGTTACAACAACTATCACAAAAATGCTACAGCGCTGTGGGCACTTTGTATGGCGTAATCTGGTGTAACTGTCCAAGAAAAAGAGGTTTGGTAATAAACCAGCAATGTTCTTTTTGGTTTTTCTTAGGTCTTGCAACCCAGTGGGTCAATAAAACTTTATGTCAGCTGTAAAAACACTTTATCTTAAGGCTGCCACACTACAGGATGTTTCAGTCTTCAATCATTGTTAAACATGCAACTAATAGTGCACACCACAGGCACGAGGAGAATTGTATGAGATTTTAAATCTCAAAGTGCAAAAAGTGCTGCAGGATATGGCTTAAAAGTTGTGAGTGCACCTCGTGTCAGTTGTTTTCTGTCTAGGGTAAAACAACTCACTTTAAGTGTTCAAAAGATCAGAACACTGCACTTTTAGTTTAGATGCAAGTCAAAACTGTGTTATTATTATTTGTGAAATGTAGTACAATACTTCAAATACATGATTTTGAATGCACATTATTTGTGGAGGACAAATGCTTTTATGGATAAAATGGATGAGATACTGCAGTATAACTTTACAGCATCATGAGAGGTGATTAATAAAGTCTTCTCATTATTTTTGCTGATTTTGTATCTCTGTGATCATCACTCAGTCTGCCCCTGACGTGATGTTTTATTGTTTGATGCCGTGGTGATGTTTTCCTGTTATGATCTGACAGAGCAGCTCAGAGTCACACTGACACCACACATGAGAAGTGCACACAAATACACACACACACACAAGGAGCGCAACGGCTTCAAAATCGCACACAAAGACACAAGGTCGGGTCACGCCTTCCCGAAGTCGGGGAGAAGCAAATTGCAGCCTAAATCAGGCAAGTTCTCTGTAGTGTGTGTGGCCTTTACTTTAGCTTACTGTTTTACTGTATAACAGCAACTAGAGATCGACCGATATGTTATTATTTTTTTTTCATCAATATGTAGGGCTGATTTGGATCTTTAAGAAAACTGTGTAGTCTTACTTTGTGCAGTTGTATTTAAGTGTTAAAGCTTTCTGTGTATTTTTTAGGGAGCAGATCGACCCAAACTAACAGATATATCAGCTAATCGATATATATCTATCTATAATAGCAACATTAGATCAAGTTCATATCACTGCATAAACAAAGGAAAAACGTGTGACGCTGGTGTATCAAGTGGTTTATAATCAAGCCCAATTTGGTTGATTAGCTAGAAATAGGAAATGCTCTGATGACTGCAATTACATAAGTGGCCTAATAAAAAGGAAATGCTCACGAGAATCATGGTTATGGTTAAAAAAAAGCCCTTCCAAAAAAAAGCAATGATGAAGTAATGAAGTGTAAACTGCAGTAAAGAGTACAGTTAGACACTGAGGGATCTAAAACACCAGTGACACTTTATTTTGGTACACCTATTAGCTTCAAAGGTGCACTATGTAACTTTTTGGCTGGGGTTTGGTCGCCTGCTTGTTTCTATGCATACGTCACTGCTCTGCTTGGAATATTCCACAGTATGATATAGACAATCACTATCTTATTCATTTACAGATGGTTTTATATCTCAAAAATAGGAATTCTGATTGTGAGTGGGGTTGCCTCTCCACAGATCTGACCTCTAACTTGGCCTGGTTTGGCCTCCATGAAGATAAAAAGGTTCTATGCCATACATCTCTATGAAGAAACGCATTTGATGAACCATCCACCAGAAAAGTTCCACAATGCACTGTGTTCCAAAAGACTGACAAATAGTTAAAAATGAGCCTGACCTTTCATGCCAAACTTAGATCGGCGTCCATATTTGTTGATGAGCAGGAACAGAACTACCAGCATCACACAGGCAAAACAGGCCAGACCCACGGCAATGGACACCTGCAAAGACAGGGCATCAAAACTACAATCAAATGTCACCTTGTGGATTTATCTAAAAACTAGTTCTCTCCTTATTAGGTTCTATTACGCAAAATAAACTAATGTTGTTACCTCATCAAAAACACACCTGGAGTTGTGTTTTGTTTCATTCACACATGTTTGAGTAACCCTGTATTATTAGTGTAATGTACCAAACTGGAGACAGATGAGAGAGGCAGAATAGTTGGAGGACCGCACAAACACAAAGGTCTCCATTTATTTATACAGAAACCAGTCAGCCAAAGCCCATAACAGGGTCTCACAAGGCACCACACATGCGCACTAACGTAGCCAGCCAACTTCGTCTTGGGCAGACAGGCTCTCAAGTTCCAAGGCAATGTTCGATCTGCACCGCCAGGTCCGCTGGTGACAGCAGCACCGCTGCCACCAAGGTGGAGTACTGGGACGTCAACAGGAGAAAGATGAGAGAAGCAGATTAATAGCTAGAGGACCACGCAAACAGAAAGGTCTCCGGGCACAGCCCACCAAAGCAGATAACAGGGGGTCACAAGCTACCACACATGCGCAGAAACATGAGCACTGAAAAGTAGCTAACATTTGGCTGTCTATATTGCCAAAGTTCAGAATGCTCTGTTCCACCTTGTGATGTCATCAAGTGGAAATTCAACGTTAACTCCTATTTTTAGCCTCAATCAAAAGGCTTTACTCTTCAATACACTATAATAACCATAAGCTGTTTTAAAAATATTTAGTTTTACCCTTTGTTCATTTGGGATTGCCACAGAAAGTCTAAAAAGGCTAAAACAATAGCTGTAGCTTCAATTATTGGCAATTCCAGGGCTGAAATTATCCAAATGATTCTAGTGAAGGTGTATGGAGTTTAAACACACAGTGAAGCACTTCTGAATTACCACTTCATGACACCACAAGGTGGAACAGGGTTTTCTGTTTGAGGGGAGGATTTGTGTGTTAAACGTGTGTGAATGAAACAAAACACAACACCAAGTATGTTTGTGATGAGTATACAAAAATATTAACACAGATCAAAAATAACATAATATGGCTCATTAACTAATAATATTTGACAAAGCTGACCTGGGGGTTTCAGGACAAGAACGGAAATTTAAAATAAAACCCCAAATACGTATATTTTATTTGACAAAACTGAACTGGGGGTTTCAGGACAAGAACGTAAATTTAAAATAAAACCTCAAATATGTGTTATAAAGCACTGTACGGTAGACATTCTGAATACAAACTTACATGCAATCATATTATACTGAATAATGCAATGACGCAGATTCCCCCCCTAAAGAGGCCTGCACATATCTCAGTCAATTACAGCAAAAAGATGAACTCAATTACATTTGTAGCCGACTCTGAGGCTCGGAGGCGCCAGGGGAATCCAGCCATAGACTCAACGCAGAAAGAACACAGGGATTAAACTGGAGATTCTTGTGTTTAAATTGTTTCATTAAAGTACTCATTCATTTACACAATAAAGATAGTCCTACAATCAGTCTGACTACTCCAAAGTCAAGACAAGACATTTTTGATTTTGACTATCTGAAATTGAAGGTAACTATTTTAGAATGACAGAGTTCAGCCTAAGTCAGTTTGCATTCAGGATTGTTGTATTTAGTGGATTCTTTATCACAGTAAACTATGAAGACAGTGGTGGAAGAGCTACTCAGTTTTGTTACTTAAGTAAAACTACAGATACCAGAACAAAGTAAAAGTATCATATGAACATAATCTACCTAAGTAAAAGCATTAAAGTACCAGTTTAAAATGTACTTAAAGAATAAAAAGTGAAAGTATTTTGTACAGATTTTGAGATCTAATAGAGCTTTATTTTATTTTATTTTATTTTTGTTAAAATGTTTGCTGATTTGTTCAACAGAAATCAAAATTGATATTTTTTTTCCTAGCTGTTTTTCTTTGTATATTTTTGTTTTGTATATTGTTGCTCTTAAACAAAAAAAAAAAAAAAATAAAAATCCACTTTAAAATGTACTTAAGTAAAGTACACATACCTCAAATGTATACTTAAGTACAGTACTTAACTACTTTTACTTTGTTACGTTCCACCCATAGACTGTATATATAAATGGACATAGCTTACGCAGTGGCCGCTGTGTTTCAAGTAAGAAGTTCACATGCGGCTCTTCCGACTCTTACTCCTAACTGTCTCCCCTCTCTCCATAACTGCTGCTGTAAGCCTCATTATTTTGGTCTTAAAATGTTTGTATTAACACGTTTACATAATCCTGCTTACATGATCTCGCATAGTCCACTTGTTAATACAGTCTATGGTTCCACCACTGTGTAAAGGCACAGTGTTACCAGATCCAAGGTTCAAATTTAGAAAGATATACTGTATATTTACATTTGTGGGGTTGGCTCATAATGTTGAAATCAGGTTCAATTAAAATTTACTTACGCCAAAGGTGTCATCTGGCTTGTGAATCTCTGGAGTAGGAGTAACTGAAAGTACAAGAAGCTTAGTATTACATGAACAAGGGGAAAAGTGCTGCATTATGTATTGTTGGGTGAATTATATTAAACCATAATCTTTTTCAACCATGTACTCTTATTATTTATAGACAAGAGGCACTTACCGTAGTCATAGTCCATTTCTGGTTCTGTGGGAGAAGGAGAGATAAAGAGACAGTACGGTTACACTGTTACCCTTTTTGGCGAAGTGAGAATGAGGTGTGTGTGAAACTCCTAAAATAAGACTTTATTATTAACACCTCAGGGTTCATTTACATTTTAACACAGATTCAACCATGGTGTCAACTCACAGATCAGATGATTCCACTGACAGAGCTAGAACTCCCTTTTCTAAATATAAGTAAGATTTTGAATTTTGTATTTGCTTTATGTTCACTGATTTTGTAATAAAATATCAAGGCTATATTGCACTTTGCAGTAACATTTACATAATGTTTCTTTCTCATCATAAACATACCTGGAGTTGTGTTCACATGTTTCACACACAAATATATTTAGGCTGAGTTCTTCTCTCAAACTGAAAACACTCTGTTCCGAAAATGGTAATACAGGAAGTGCCTCACTGTGTTTTTAAGCTCCAAACATCTTCAGTAGACTCATTTGGAGCATTTCAGCCCTGGAACTGCCAATCTCGGCTGAACTAAAGACAGCTGTGTATTTGAAAACTACCATTATCTGACATGACAAGGTGGAACATACATTTTGAGTTTGTAAATTATATAGTATATTTAATTTTTTTTTTAATATAGAGATTGCAGGACAGCTGGATAGTTTATTTTGGATACATTTATGTTTTTCTATGTCTTATTTCATGTTGAGAGTATATTTTAGTCATTTTATGTTTTACACTTTTTAGGTGCCTGAATTTATTTTCAATTTCTCTGTTTTGCGTAAATTATCAATAACAAAGTGTTTTGGGTTTTTTGAGAGAGAACTGCTGAATAAATGCATCATGTAACTAAAAAATAATCATTTGAGTAATCATGATTTCAATATTGACCAAAATAATCATGATAATGTTTTTTTCAATAATTGAGCAGCCATAAATGAAACAAAACACAACCTGAGGCATGTTTTTGAGAAGGTAACAGCATCATAGCATAAAGCTCACAAGTGTAAATTTTTCATAACACAGGACGTTTAAAACATAAAAAGTCTAAAGGTCTGGTTGTATTTGTTACTCACCATCTTCAAAAGGCTGGGAGAGGAAGTGCCCATACACAGTGCTGTTGGCCACGCCCAGATAGTTGATGGCTTCTAAGGTGTAGTTGCCGTTGTTGTGGTGAGTTGGGTTTTTAAAAGTGAGACAGCCCTCAATGTAATCCTGGAAAAAATCCATGTCTGGACGTACAAACTCAGAGTGAGAGATTTCCTGTACAAAGGACACAAAAGACAAATCAAACCCATATCAAGTTGAGATAATAATAGTAAGAGTGAGTAGTATAGGGGCATTGGACAAACCTCTCCGTTGTAAAACCAGCGCAGGGATGGGTGAGGAGAGCCCCGCACAGTGAACTCTATGCAGGTGTCATGGCGACGCTCGGGCTCTCTCAGCCTCACTATGGTTGGAGGAACTGCAACAGACGAGAGTAACCTTAGAGTAACTTTTCTGGTCAAGGACCTCCATGAAGATGTTATTGCTTTCCCTGGAATGTTCCATGGTATGACTTTAAACATTTCCATCTAGCATTTATTCATTACGGGTGTTTTTTATTACTCAAAAACACAATAATACTTTCTGTGAATAAGGGCAAATCTCCACAGATCTGAATTGTAATGTACCGCAGTGTTGCTTGCTTATCTCCCTCGTGATAGATAGCTTAAATCTATACTGTGGAAAATTCTAGACATAGCAACAACATTTCCATGGCAACATAAGGTGACAAACCCTCTTCTAGAAATGTTACTCAGTGCACCTTAAAATTACAAAGCATAAGACATTGTCTTCTAATGATGTAACTAAATGCAGTTTTCCACAGAATTTTGATTTTGATTTGCATTTTGATTTCTGTGATGATCACCCACATTTATCTTTGCGTACAAGCTCTGCCCAACTATCCTGCGCAGGAACGTGGGCGCCAAAGACAAGGGGTTAACTATGTTTTATTGAACTGGCACATCCTCATTGGTAAGATATTTAAGTTTTTAGATTTCAATGTTTTTTTCAAACATGTTTATTTTGTTTATTTTATTATTTTATTATTGACAAGCACAACTCCTGGTAGACTTCACAATAAGCTTAGCCTGTATTTTCTATTTAAGTACCGACGACACATTGAAATTGGTTGTTCTCCTAATGCGCTTCTCTCATCAGCAGCACCACATTGATTTGTTATGTGTGAGCGTGTGACTAGGGTTCTAGTGTTTCTCTGTTGAAGCCTGTGTGCATGTAAACAGTGGTCTGCTGGTACAGGGTCCTCGAGTTTCTGTGGCTACTCCTTAGACACCCACAATCAGTCTGCTGACACTAAATCAAAGCACATTATAGAGGTGTGACTGGACGACTCTACAGTTTATCCATTGACAGAAGGCTGAGTCAGGTAACAACTAATTATTTTTTGATGTGTACAAACCCTGTGTAGCAGTGACACTGTATGTGAAAATAGTTCAGATGCATGACTTATTGCATCCAATGCCAGCAAGGTCTATTTTGGGATATTAAACCTGTGTCTAACTTGGACTAGGAGTGCATCAATGTTATTGTTAATGATTTGTCAAAATATTGGCGCCAATCCAGGAAAATTTGCTGTGTTGGTATTGGTTCCATGATATTGCTTTTAGCTGATATCGTGGTTGGGCGATTAATTGTATGTAATGAGACTATTTATTGGCAAATGTTGGCGTAGAAAGCTTCATAATGTTTGAACTTTTATTCAGGCAAAAATGTTCAGCTGTTACTTGCTGGATGAATAATATAATTGAATCAATTTTGTATTGAGTTATCTGTGCTCAGATGGAAATAAAATGCCTTTTTTAGCTCCCACACTAGTATTGATTAATATCAGTTCTCGATCGATATCAAAAGGAAAAGTATACGTATTGGAATTGAAAAAGCTAGATTAGTGAATCCCTAACTTGGACTGTGCATTCTCAAAACTATCTTCTGACTTTGTAACTGCAGTGTATTACTCTACAAACTGTTTCAAATACCTACATCTCATTCATTACTTGCAATATACTGCTATTAATTGCATCGTAAAACTACCCCATGTTGTACAAGTCTAAAATGTGGTTATTTATATGTATAATGTCTAAAAAAAACTTATTTGCACATTAATATAACATGAAGCACCCATCTCGTGTACCCACTCTCGGCCTGTTTAATAGCACTGCAGCATCTGTTCAAACACATCACCTTGTTTTATGATAATCTGTAAATACTACAGCACGCCTCATTTAATGGGTCACTCATTTAACAGGCATTTTTAGTACACACATAGATCAAGTTTGTCTAAGAGCCCACCCGTCACGCTCACTGACCCAATAGCACCTCGTTTATGGCTTCATGTCTACCAGGCAAAGATGCCTCATCTTCATTAGGAACAACCCCAGTGGAAATGCACAAACAGACCATGAAAGGCAATGGCAGAGACTTCATACCAACAAGCCTGTCACCATAATTACTATATTGACTTATATATAATATATATGAATACTGTATATGAAAGCTGGAACAATATTTGTGGGTCAGTATTGATTGTGCGTACATTTGCTTTGCACTATTTTAGGTAGATTTTTGGCTATAAGATAAGATTTAAGCTGTAAAAGGCTGACTAAATAAATTCTATGACTCATTACAGATGCAAACTCAGTAATAATAATGCATTAGTCTAGCACTTTTCCAGGCACTCAAAGTGATTTTACAATTTTGGTGCATTATTCATTAATTCCATACTAAATGGCCTGCTACTACTGTAGCCACAGTTGCCTTTGGGCAGACCTGATGGAAACAAGGCTCCCAAACTGCACCATCAGTCACTTCGACCACCACCAAAACTCACACTAACACCACTTTCAAACTAGGCAATCTGGGTGAAGTGGCTTACCTAAGGATACAACAACAGTTTTTGCCACTGGCACCTAATTTTCCCAGCTGTCTCCCATCCAAGTACTAACCAGGCACAGTTTAGCTTCTGATGAGATCAGGCTTTGACAAGGAGGTTTTGGCTGCTAAAAGTGTATTGAAGTGTTTAATTCTGCTATTTATCTTTTACAACTTATGATATAATATTGTAGGTTATTGAGGTAATCATGATTTAGGATTATTGTGTTAGTGGTATAAATTAGTTTTGGTATTATCGTTTATCATCTATATTTTCTATAATTTTTCACACATTAAAATTTATTATAGTAACAGGTCTACATTTAGAATATATATAAATAAATTACAAACTGAAACACTTTCTTTAGTTTTTATCTATGATGGGTCATAGAAGTTATTTATTCAGCCCTCCACAGCTCAAATCTAACAGGAACAATAACAGAAAGTTCCCGACTAGTGCTAAGAAAAAGTACCCCTGATAAATATTGACCCCAAAATATAATGTTCCATCTGTCATATATTGAACGATAAGTCAGTACAGTAGTTATAGTGACAGGCCTTGTCATGTGTAACAAATTCAGCTCCTATAAATATGAACTTGTTTCTCTATTGGCCCTTTTGTATCTGAAATGTAATGCTCAGAGCTGCTCTTATGCGGGGTATAATCTATAGAGCCATAAAACTTGCTTTTCATTAGCCTGTATTAGTTGTGTTTAAACAACTTGACTTGGTAATGGTAACAGATTAATAATACAACTGAATTGCTACTGTCCCATTAAACTGGCAGGAGTACTTTTAATAGTAAAACTTGTTTAGTACATATTAAAAACAGAAATGAAACATAAATATTGTGTCTACTGCGCATATTAGGATACCTGTAAGATTCATGGGTAGTGACAAACTGTTCTTTACTAAGTATAGAGAAGGGTTCATCGGTGGTCATCTGGACTTTTGTGATCATGATTTTCCAGCTCCCATCCAGAAGCCATTTTCAATTGATGGAGCTGGCTTGAGGCACTGGGAATTTTATCCTACTCTGAGTAACTACTAGTATATCCAACCCTCAGATTAGTATAAATTCCCAATGATTCAAGCCATCAATTGAAAATGGCTTCTGGATGGGAGATGAAAAGTCTTGATCGCAAAATGTCCAGATGACCACCGATGAACTCTTCTCTACGCTGAATCACTCCCAGAACGAAGGAATACACCGTCTTCTTTCCTTAGTTTTAGTTTGAGTGTAATAGCAAGAATCACACACAGCCATTGGCACAAACATTAAATCAAGGCTAAATTCACAAAAAGAGAAACCAATGATGGTCTTTTGTGATGGGGGAGCGCTAACCTGTCTGCCAACATGCCACTTTCAATGTAAAAATAGCATCTTTTATTCAGGCCTGGGGTCAGATGAGTCATGCTGCAGTGTGGTTTGTGTTCAGTCTGAAAACAGATGCTTTAGGTCTGCATCTTGTCATGTACTCTGCTTGTCATAATTATCTCCAGGGGAAAAGTATTTCTGAGTTTATTTTGTATAACACGCATATATATATTCAATTGGATTGGGATGTACGTTTTAGGGTTGAAAACAGACAAAACATTGAACTTATTTATATAAAACCTAATTCACAACCAAATGTGAGCCTGTGTTCATTTTGCTGACTATTATATATTGTCATTATTATATCATCAATCCAATCTGTTGGCTGACATAACCAAAACATGAAGCGCACTCATCACAAAAACAATGTTAAAACAGTGACTACATTTCCAGATATATGTTTGTCATTTTATAAACTAAACCAGGTCCAGGCATCAGGATCCAATCTATTTTATAAATTGTATACCTTTGAACCCTCAAACCACCCATGGTCAGCATCTATATAGAACAAATATGGTCACGTGTAAATATAGGGTTGGGTTTGAGAAATAATAAAACAATAGTTAATTGGGCCCAGAGAGTAATTAAAAACCTCTTGAAGGAGTCTATGCAAAAAATGAAGGGAAAATTCACTTCACTTCACTGCTGAGCTCATGTACTACCCTCTCAAAGTAATGTAAGGGTACATTTTGGTATTAAAATTAAATCAGTTGTCAAAGGAAGACTAATATAAACAACCTTCTAAACATATTCCAATGTAACTGTTGTCATAATAACTGATGCGTTTACTCACAGTGCACAGTGAGCTGGACTGAGGCATTGGTCATTCCCACGATGTTAGTGGCGATGCAGGTCAATAAGAAGTTGTTGTCATCTCGACTCACATTCACCAGAGTGATGTTGATCGAGTGAGTGTTCTCATAAAACGTGGCCTTCAGAGACAAATAGCACGCGTTCACACACACAATAGGAGCACAGCACTCGTCAGGTAAAACAGTCCTTCACAGCAATCGCAACTTTGTTTTCTTTTATAATCTTGCATCTTTTTCTTTTAGGTTTGACTGATATATGCTGTGTTTTGTTCTGCATCTAGAACATAACGTATCATAATGTACTTTAAACAACACCAAAGCAAAATGTTGAATTGGAAAATGCTGCTTCTCGTGATTTACACACAGCAACAGTCTACTTGTGATCCATGCTGAGCTTAATTTAAAGATCCTATATTAACACACAATTGACTCTTGTGAGCTTTAAGCCATGTCATAATGTCGTTACCTCCTCTAAAACATACCTGGAGTTGTGTTTTGTTTCATTTACACATGTTTGAGTAACCATCTCGAAAACTTGATATGTGTGGGAGCCTAAACCCATTTTATTTTTTTCATTTCATTTGTTTCATTTCTGAGATAACTATTCTTATTTTGTTTCATTTATTATTTACTTAAAATGCATGATTTTTGGTATTTTGGTAATTCTTTATGGTTAACATGATTATTTGTTGATTAATTGCTAAAAAATCAATTTAAATTTTTTCTTTCAATTAATTACTGCTAATGTTAATTAAGTTTTCTTAAGGAATGTTTTTTTTGTATTATTTTGTGGTCTATGGCTCCTTATTTAAGGCAAGTACAGGTGCACCATGGGAGTTGAGTGGAGCCAAACAGTTTTTTGACTTCCTGTCACCTGTATATTAAAGTTCCCCTTTTTTGAATGGATTTGTATGTCCTCAATTATATGAATACTCTAAACTAATAGTTTTTAACTGCACTTAGATTGCTCTCTGTGGATTTTTTTGCTTTTAAAAGGTGGAACAAGATGTGCAAAGTGTCAAAGTGGAACAGGGTGTTTTCAGTTTGAGAGAAAAACCTAAATATGGAAGATGTGTGTGAGATTGAAACAAAACACAACCTCAGGTATGTTTGTGATGAGGAAACAGCATTATAAAATAAATAAAAAATAGTGTAATATGGGCTCTTTAAGGAGTTGCTGTAAATAGTGTCCACAAGGCTTTAATTGAATTAGAATCAGCACTATCACACAGTCTAACACGATATGCAGGCTAGTTTGAGTGTACCAGCCTTTTGATGATTGATGCAAACAGACACATGTATAAATAATGTATGAACTAGCCACAGCGCCCAGTGCAGAGAGGGTGTGGGGGTACCTCTTGTGCGCCGATGATCGACTTAAGTCCATGCACAGGCCAGTCCACCTCAGGTAATGGAGAACCTGTCCCATTACAGGTGGCAATGACACGGTCGCCCTCCACCACAGTCAGGTTACTGTGGCTCACACTGATGTCTGGCAGCTCTGTGGATGAGACGAGATCAGGTCAGATACAAATGATGACAATGTATTTCAAAAAGGGTGTAAACAAGGATAGTATTTGACATTTACTACTTTAAAAAGTAGAATATGACATTAAAACAAACAACAAATGCTACATTTCTGTATTATTATTGTATACTTTAAAGGTGCATTGTGTAACATTTCTGGTGGAGGGTACACTTTCCTTCATGGAAATGTTATTGCTTTGTCTGGAATATTTCACAGTATGGTATTAAACCTTTTTATCTTCATGGAGACCAAACCAGACCAAGTTACACGTCAGGTCTGTGAAGAGGTGACCCCACTCCCAGTCAGAATTTTTGAGCTATAAAACCACCTGTAATTGAATAAATGTAAGGTAGCGTTGTTTAATGTCATACTGTGGAACTTTCTAGGCAAAGCAATGACATATCCATACATACAAGCTGGTGACAGACCCTCAAGCAAAAAGTTACATAGTGTACCTTTAAGATCAGTATCAGTGTGAATCTATCTGTGAAGAGATAAGTATCATATTCTTCATAGCTTTGATGCGGGGCTTTTCTTTCGTTATGGAACTGGGAACAGATAAAACTTTGGTTTGTGATCTCTTGTAGATAGATTATAAAGGTCAGTTTACAAAAGAAAAACAAGAAACAAAACTATCATCTTTATTGCCTCTCTACATTGGCCATAATATCCTCACTAACCCTGAAATAGACTAAAAGCCCGCCCCACATGAGCTTTATGTATGAACTCACCACACCCGCTGATGTTCATGTCCTGCAGTAGCATTTTCCCATAGTCGTTTTCACAGTACAGCTCCTGACTGCCCAGCCCCGCCTCCCCTCTCTGTTGCCATAGCTGCAGCCACCGGATGCCACAGCCACATTCAAACACCACGTCCTCCAAATGCCTGCAGACAACGAGTGATTCGATTAGTTCAACATTGACATCTGCAGGTTTAGACTCATCAAAATGACAACACAATTCATTACGCAGGCAAGGCGCTCAGTGATCAGGACCTGATGTTGTGCTGTTTTCATCTTTGCTTTGAATGACATGGACCACTCTGCAATTCAGTACAAGTAATGAATACACATTTCTCCTACCAAAAGACTGAAACTTGTGGATCAGGCTGCACAGGCTTGGACGATAGGCTCAGAGTTAATATTTTACATGACAATCAATCAATGTATCATGTTATCTGTATAATGTAGTAGTTATATCTGTCATTTGTTAATCTCTCTGTTTTTGCCTCATTACACATCTATTATTTGTGTATTTTAAAGCAGTTATTGCCTGTGTGAAGTAGACACTAAATCCCCTTTGACCAGACACCCACATATAACACAGTGTAAAAACTGAGCTGAGGTGTTGGACTTCCTTTTTTAACTGCCTCATGACTTACGGCCCTGGTCTAAACCAAATCTATTCATTTTAACTTCCAAGATTATCTGTGGAGCTAAAGATTGGGCATTTCAAGAGGCTATGCTTAAAACAAATCTGATAACTAGACTATGTCAGACTTTTGTCCCAAAATGGCCCCCATAAAATGGCTACCTAGAAAGACAATGATGAACAACATTTTAATTTCCATTTGAACAATGTTACTAGCCTGATTCATCAGCTACTTTCACTTGGAGGAAACCGTCTGACCACTCAACGGTAGGCTGGTACTTTTTTTTATCTAACCAATCGCTGCTATTTGGTCGTGATGTGCTGTATGTAATGCACCGCTAACGGGGCACACTGGTATATTAAGCTTTTCCCAAATCCCGTAGAAAGAAGGGCAATAACATCTTTCCCCTAGATAAAATTCACCAAATATTCTCTTTGTTCTGGCTTTAAATCCTCGATCTAGGGAATAGTTGCTAACACAGAATGTATGACACTTTGCTGATTGGCACTTCCAGGATTCTTGCAAACCATCTAGTGTATTACAATTCTTGACCTAGTCGCTGGAGAGAAATTAAATTGAGCAGAGGCACTAGGTGGTGCCAGCCTGGCTACAATGTTAAAGCTGAACAAAAGTAATTTACTAAAAACAATGCCTCACCCTTGTATTGTATTTTACACATTCATACTGAGCAAGATGGGTGAAGTGTCTTGCTTAAGGACACAATAACAGAGTTTATTTTGAGCAGGAATCGATCCTCCGACCTTCGAATTGTAGCTTCAGTTTCAATTTGATCATCAAAAATAGAAATCGACACACAAAGTACAACCATTTGCAGCAGAGCAGTAACTTCATGACACAGTCAGGTCCATTCAGGTTTTGTGGATAACATAATCCACAGTACATCATGGGTACAGAGCACTCCCATAAATCCAGCCCTAACTACCAGCGGTGCTAACATGGCTACATTTACTCCATAGACTACTGTTGTATTTACGGCCTTTGTCCTGGGCTGATATATACGCACACAGCAGCGCCTCCTCTCGAGTGTCTCTGCTTTGGGGGTCCCACCCATCATCCTGACAGCCATCTCCACCGCTGGACCCTCTCATGTCACTATCCGCAGCTGTGGACATGTTTGTGACACTGAGAATTATAGAGAAGTGAAGGACGAGGAAGGAGCTGCATTATTCTTACTGCCACCAAACAAGAGGTTTCATATGTGAAGATGATCGTGTTGTTGACAGGAGGACGGTGATGCATGGCCGGACTGAAGATGACTATATACTCAGGGGAACACAGTATACATCAGCCCACACTGGTACAGAATATACTGGGCACATAGATGTGGTCACAGAATACAATACAAAGCTCAACCTAATTCCCAATCCTATTACACATTCTCTGCCCTAAAAACAAACTTATTACATAGGATTTAAAGGGCCCATGTTATGCTATTTTCTGATCTATGCTATAATGTTGTTTCCTCATTAAAAAAAATACCTGGAGTTGTGTTTTGTTTCATTTACGCATGTTCAACACACAAACCCTGCATATTTTGGATGAGTTCTTCTCTCTAACGGTGAGAGAAGAAGTCAGAAAACACTCCATACACCTTCTCTAGAATCATTTGGATGATTTCATCTCTAGAACAGAAATCTCTACTGAATAAAATGTCAAAGTTAGCTGTTAACTTGAAAACTACCGCTTCATAACATCACAGGGTAGAACCGAGCATTGTTTGAGTTTGGAGATGTAGAGAGACTAATAATAAAGGATTACAAACATGTAAGACTGAAACAAAAGTAACAAAAGTAACAATGTTCTAACATGATTTAAAGCTCACAAGAGTAAAATTTCAGTAATATAGGATCTTTAATATGTAAAATAAAGCATCTGAGTTCTAGGAGTTGCTTGTAGTAATATTGTGAAAATCATCCATGGAAATAACGGATCAAACAACTTTTTCATTTTAATTTCACAAATGTGCTTTTTTTTTTCTTTTTCTTCTTAATCCGAAGACTTTTCTTTCAGGGCAAATTCAACTAAAATGCACACTCCATAATATGCTCTTCAATCAGGTTACCAAGAGTCAACAGATCTTATTTTATTTTGGTTACTTCCAGTTAGTAGCTAGTACTTGTTTTTTTTGCTTGTTGGTGATCGCAGCTGTCCACAACATGTGCAAAAATGGCTGTTTGGTATTTACAGAACAGTACATGTGTGTAGCACCTTGGGGCATATTGTGATGAATGCTTCCTACAGCCTACACTGTGTATGAGTGCACTGGTCATAAACACGGATACGGCAAGCTCCCAGATCAATAGGCGCATTATTAGTCCTCCCACCTCAAGTTTGATAAATAGAACAAACTGGATTTGTCTGCAGAAGGAAAAACCCACAGGACTCAAACACAAGTAATATCAAGCTGTAAAGCCAAAATAATACCATGGAAATCTACCTTTATATCAAGAAAATAATTTCGTCTGGCAAAAAAAGAAAAAATCTAATTTAAGTCTAACAGAATTATAATAAAACACTAGGTTCACACTTCACGGCGGGTGTGTCGGAGAAGGAGCGAAGAAGAAAGTGTGTGACAAATTGCACCTTGCTCAGATGTTAATAATCACACTGTACAGCTGCATAGTTTCTGCAAGGGTACGGACCTCATTAATAAATGCAACAGGGGGCGCTGTCTGGGCTGGGAGTTATGGCCGTCCAAATAATCCACATAAAATGAATATAGTTGAGTGATCATGCTTACTATTCACTCACAAATGAATATTAAAAAGTCAACACATTTAACTAAAAGGATTATATATATTAAAAAATATATATATATATATTCATCACAACAGCATTTTTTTCTGTATGCCTAATGAACAGCTATGCCTGCTCTTACATACTCCAACAGCATTCTTGTCGTGGTCCCCTTCTGAAAGCTGTCAATCACATATCCTGACCACAATTGCACACGTTCCCGCACCAATATCTTCACCTAAACTCTGCCAACAACCACATTTAAATAGAGCTGCTAAACTGGACAGTGCCAGTGGTCTAAAGAAGAGAGAGAGAGGAGGAGGGCCGTGGTCTAGACATATGAGGAACAGTACAATTGGTCAAACAGGTACGTCAAATTCCGCCCCCTGCAGTCAGGTGTTTGGAATCTGAAACATTGGGTTGTAAACAGGGCAGTCTTTTGTGATGTCACCAACAACTGGAAATTGCAGCGAAAACTACAAGTAGCATAAACTTAGATTTTGACCACAAAGCTGCAAATTTACCTACCAAAATTCACCAAAAAAGTGCTATTATAACTCCATATACACAGTTTAGTAGTCAGGGCAGTCTTGCATGATGTCACCCAACACTTAAAATTGCAGTGGCCACTAGAGACAGCACATACTCATTTTAGTACGTATTTGCTGCTTATGTATACCTGTTTGCACAAAAATTTCCAAAAATGCCATACTAACAGTAGACAATGCTTTTAAAACACCATATACACAGTTTATTAGTGAAAAAAGTTGATTTTGTGTTTAGTTCCACCATAAATTGGGCAAGAGACAGGTACTTTTCAAGCATATTTAGACCTTGAAAAGTCTATATAGCCTACTCTACAAACAATGGCAACTCTTTGATGTATTCCATTTAAGTGGTAAAATCAAAGATGTTGATTGCTGCTTTTAATATATCATTTTATCTCTCCAGCCTAAATTGTATGGCATGAAAGTTAATGAAAAGTACACAGCCAAAAACACATGAAGTCTGTTACCTAACAACATAAGGTGGCCATTAAGAGAAATCTTAACCTTGCACAGATAAAGTTACAGATTTCTTTACAGCATTTAAGATTATTATTATATTATATATCATATTAAATACAATGTACTCAAGGGTCTCCAGATGGGTTATGGAGAACTTACTTACAGTTCAAAAAGCTGCAGCTGATCAAAGACCTGCCAGGACAGTGTGGTCAACATGGGGTTCTTCGACAAGTTTCTGAGGAAAGAAAAACATGAGAATACAGTCAAGAAATATATGATTAGTGTATCTTTAAATACTGAACCAGATATCTCCAGTTCAGTAAGTGTTCAAAATGACCACTTTTGATCTATTAGCCAATTAATATGAGTAGAAAGTTATTTTAACACTGTGGGGAGATGAGAGAAATGATGAAAACTACAGTATGCATTGCTTCACAGTTCCTTCATAATTGTCCTGGTCAGATATGACTCAGTTTTCCCGTAGATGTGAGTCTCACAAACACACATGTGTGTTTCCATGACAACGTGAAGCCTTGGAGGGGAGCTGAATCCAGGCAGCTTCATTATAGTTTTACAGTGTAAAATCAGAATTTGGATTTCACATGAAAAGTGAACACAGCTGAACATTTTACAACAGATATTTATCTTGTGTCAATGAAAATGATTGCAATGTAGTTCTTTTTGTTGTACTTCTTTTTTGTTGTTGTAATCTTTGTTGTGTCATTTTTATTAATGTCCCAAAGAAGATTTGTTTCAGCCTAAATCGCTTTCATTATACTGCGCATGTAGTCTGCTTCAACGCTCTTGGATGAAGTTAAACAGCTCAACAGTAGGCAAATTTTTGTTAACTAAGATATGTAGTATATATATACTATACTATACTATACTATACTATACTATACTATATTTAGTATTTCCACACGTTGGAGACAAAACACAGGTATTTCAGGCCCAGGTGTAAATAACAAAGTGTAGCTCTTTTGTTCCACATTAATGAGAGTGGAGATTATTTCCGTTTGGGCTGCCTCTGTTTTTAAATGAAAACACATTAGTATGGATGTGTCCATGCCTGTGAACATGCAGATGTGTCCTTTACAAAGGTCAACCTGGCTACAATAATGCACATTTAAACCATGCACACGGCGCCTCTGTTATACTCTCTCCCATCAGCGCTCAGCAAATTACTCATGAACATATGGAGGTCACAGGCTGGACGCAAACAGGCCCATATGAAAGTGTGAGTCGCTGGTGTGGGGTACATGCATCTACTTTTCACTGCATACACATCAGCAAGACAGTATGGAATAATGCAATTTATACCATGGTCAGAGAGAATTTTAAGGCTGCTGTGGATTATTTTTGTATAACCACACCACAGGTAGTCCTAGGCCTGTCACCCTAATTAAGATACATACACTTCTCATTCATATATAAATAAAAGCTGAAACAACATTTTTTGGGTCAGTATTTATCGATTGTAAATTTTCTTTGCATTACTGGAAAACAGTTGGTTATTTTTTGGCGTTATGCTACGCTTTAAGCCGTAAAAGGTTGACTAAACCACATATAGAGGCAAACTAAGAACTACAGTGTTTAATTCTTCTATTTATCTATTTAGCAATGTATTTTGTTAACAATATTGTAGCTTTAGAATAAGTTTTGGGGAATAATCCTGCTTTAGGATTTTGTGTCAGTGGCATAAATTACTTTCAGTATTATTGTTTATCATCTATATTTATTTATATACTAAGTGTTATCTAACTGTGAGAGACTCATGCGTTTAATGAAATTTATTATTATATTACTTATTACCAGAACTTCAGATAGAGGCAAGAATATACAAACACATTTGTCTCACTCACAAAAATATAGCCGGTGATGTATCACAGTTGTGTTTAATTCAACAGGAGCTGGCACTGAAAGTTGTGATCAAGTTTAGTGTGAGACCGACAGAAACTTTACAGAGTTTTTGAAGCTGTAATGAGCTATTTTTCACTTTACGAAGACTTTTCCAAACCACGGCTATCTCTGAGTTGGACTATGTGAAACAGAGTAGATAAAACCAAAGCAGTCACATGTGAGCAGACAGCAGGCTCTCCATCCTCCATACACACTCCCATTCGTCAAGCTGTCTCTGCGTTTCCATGGTGATTGTCAGATATCAGCGCCAAGCCAAAGAAATGACTTTAATTATAACCTAATGAGAGCTGCTCCATCACACTGTGAGCGTGTCGCCATGTTTAACACAGCTCCATGGTTAATGTGCTGCCAGGCTAAAAGGGTCATGCTAATAATGGCATTCAGATTAGTCAGGGTCCCATTGGCCTCCTGTCCTCTAGAGCACAGGTACTGCACCATTGCATCATCATACTGGCAAAATTATACTGTTTGTACTAAGGAGTGAAGGAATAGTCCTGCTCCAGACTTGAGCGCAATACACTTTTTGAGCAAAGCATCTTTAGAACTAGCCATATTTACAGAAATTTGGGGGCATGGGGCAAGAAGCCTCACATGGCCCCCTGTAATATAAATTAATAAGAAAAGGGTCCAGTTCTGGGCTGTAAAATTTCGGGGCCTGGAACAACAGAGTCCTTTGTCTCCTCCTGGCTACTGCCTTGCCTATAAACAAAAACGCCATTAATATTGTTCTTTTTTTTTTGGGGAAAGTTGACTTGTTCTCTTATTCATGGGTTTCAGAATGATAAGAAATTAGAACTGTTGTTGTTGTTGTTGGCCTGTCACAATAATACCAATATCACTATGTCCACTTATTGTTCAATATGTGAAAGCTGAAACAAATTTTTTGGAAGGTCAGTATTTATCATGTGTACATTTTCTTTGCTCTAGTGGGGAATTTTGGTTATTTTTTGACTATAAGATAATATTTAATCTGTAAAAGGTTGAATATAGATGCAAACTAAGTAGTGTTTCATTCTGTTTATTTATTGCAGCTTGTGTGTGTGTGTTTTTTTTAACAATACTGTAGATTTAGAGTAGTTTTTGTGGTTTAAATCTGCTCTTGGGTTATTGCATCAGTGCCAGAAAGGAGTTTTTATATTTTCATTTGTCGTCTATATTTACTTCAGCAGCACATCAAAGTTTGTTAATGTGACAGGCCTAAGTGTTGTCAAAACTATGAATAATTAAAAATAGCTTGGCCTAGTATTATATCTTTTGAAAGGAAAACAAATCCTGTCTAGTCTAGTTACCCTAATTTCTATCAACACTGATTTACCGAGACTTGCACAGTCATGCATTAAATCCATTTTATATCATTGATGACGAAAATGAAAATCTTAATCCTTAATTCACCACTCATTACTCACTAGAATAATTTGGATACTAGATAATTTTAGCCCTGGAATTGACTATCTCTACTCAGCAAAAGGTAAAAGGTTATAACTTGAAAACTACCACTACATGACTTCACAAGGTGGAACAGCGTATTTTAAGCTTTGGAGATGTAGACAGACTAATCAAACATGTGCAAATGTGTGTGTATGTGTGAGTGTGTGTGTGTGTGTCTGTTATGGATGAGCTCTCCTTGTTGTTTGAGTATTATACAGTGCAGAGCTGTCATGAATGGATGAGTACAACTGTTTCTCTGCTTCCTGGTCTTGCTTGAGTCTGTCTGATTGCAGCTCATCTGAAGCTGACTCCTGCAGGGTGTGATGTAACTGTCTTTATTATTCATAGACTACTTCATCAGTATTCCTCTCAGCGCACAAACCCACAAGACCGAACGCATTTCTCAAATCATTTCTTTTCTCTTGCTGTTTGATCTGGGCGGTCACTGGTCACTGCTGTGGTCTGCTGCTTGTACCAACAGGGCTTAGAGAGATCATGGTGGGAATCAATGTAAATATATGCATCATAAGAAGATTCAAATGAGCCTCTTGAATAAATCTTTCACTTCCTGTGCAAGACGCCAAGCCGAAACACCATCTGTGCTTGACACCTGTCTGCTCCAGTGCCGCTCAAATACAAAAGTAACTGTAAGTCTATGTACTTTTAGGTATTTTTCTTTAAGTAATAGCTATAAACAAATACAGCTATTGATACTTTGCGGTGTGTGTTCTACATTCGTCTCTATTGGCGGAATGTTCAACAGTTACCATGGTGACATAATCTACACATTAGCAAAACTTAAAACCAATATAAAAAGTGTAATGGATTTAAACAACACATTTTCAGGAGCCTGTGATGAATACATGGTCCTGTTTAGGAGTTTGATTTTCAACAAAAAAAGGTGAGAGTGACTGCTATCTAGCTTGTGACAGTAATTTTATGTGTGAAACTTGTTTCACAGTACAAATCATCTCACCTGTTATAGCTCCAACCAAGTCAGCTCAGACCAAGTCAGAATAAAGATCACAAGAATGCTTGCAGGTAAAAACGACAAAATATTTTATCGGAAGTGCCTTTTGTTTAGACAGCATTTTTGGGGCTAAAAAACGCAAAAACCTGAAACCATCCTCCAGAGAGGAAAAGTTGAATACGCTCCGCCATAGCGTTTCCGTCTACACTGCCCAAGATGCAAAACTCTAGTCAGATCTGCTCACGTCGCGTACGCGTTTACGTCACATACATCACCACCTAGCATCACCACCTAGCCACCTGGCATGCACACCCAATCAAATTCCACACACTTTTGCGTCATAGTATGCATGCAGATTTCCTCCTGAAAACACTCGTCTAAATGCAGAATAAAAAGATGCCACTTTTGTGTCTTCTGCTCAGACTGTCATCATATAAACGTAGCCTAGGTCTAACTTGAGTAACAGAGCTTCTAACAGAGCAGTGCTTTCAGTTAGCGGCACATCCCCAGGGAATGTTGAGGACATCGGCTGCAAAGTATCAGAAGGAGTGATGGTATTGTCAGTGAGAAGTAAATATCGATAAGTAATGCTTTGCCTCGCTGTAGTTTTTATAGCAGTACTGAGTGGAGTATCAAGTACAATGTCGTAATCCTTGCTCTTTTATTACTTGCAATTTATTAGTTATGATCACTTTGTGCTTTTAATTCAAAAGCAGTAAAACAATTTAAAGGGCCTAAATTACACTGTTTTCTGATCTTTGTTACAATGCTGTTTTCTCAGCAAAAACATACCTAGAGTTGCATTTTGTTTCATTCACACGTTTAACACACAAACCCTGCATATTCTCTCAAACTGACAACAGTCTATTTCACTTTGTGATATTATGGGGTAATACAGGAAGTGCTCCACTGTGTTTTTAAACTCCATACACTGTCACATTATTCATTTCTATACTTTCAGCTCTGGAATTGCCCATCTCTACACAGAAAAAAAGTTTAAATATAGCTCTAAACTGGAAAACTACCACTACATGACATCACAAGGTGGAACAGAGAATTTTGAGCTTTGGAGATGTGAACAGACATATAAAAAAGCATTACTCAAACTAAATGAAGCAAAACACAGCTCTAGTTATGTATGTGGAGGTAATCACATTGTAACATGGTTTAGAGCTCACAAGAATCCACTGTGTATAATGTAGGACCCAAAAGAAACTTTGTTGTTGTACATATTTCAAAATGTTTTCCCACCTCCACAAGTACTAACATGATTTTAAATATCACCTCGTCTAAATCGTACTGATGAGTGCTTTGCTGGGGCTGGACATATACATAGCTAACAACATCCCTCCCACCACCACGGTAGTTTTGATGAGTATTTTTATCTCCCCTTTAAGCCCTGCGTGGTTCTATTATCAGTAATGGCACAGACACACGCAAACAGAATGAGTCCTGTCTATTCTGAGCTCTGTGACTGGGCCTGGAGCTGGAGTGTCAGTAATTACATCTGTCAGTGTGTGGCTTCACCTGCCGTCGCACCGTCCTTCTCAACAACTGCTGCCACTTTGAAAAAAACATCAGAAGAAACCGTTTATCATGTACGGCCATGTTGCACTGAAGTAAGTCCAGAGAAAGTGTGCCAGGCATATGGAGATTTGACCCTCACTGACTAAATGCTTTTGTAGACAGGAGCACATTAGATCCATGTTGGTGCCAAAGCCTGTCAAATTACTTTTCTGAAACGCCACTGAGCCAATCAGGCGTAACATTATGACCAAGTAATCCGAGAATGTCTTGCCTTTTTGAACTGAACTAGCCTGACAGTTTTGTGTAAGGAAGGGATAAGATCTGGTGCTTTAAGATCTTGCGAGTCAAAATTGCCACAAGACTGTACACACATGAGAAAAATCTTGTGAGAGTTTATTCCCTTGTATTTTTGCATTGGATTAACTTTGCTGAGTAACTCTTCTTAAGAAGCTGTAATACCAAAAGGCAGTGCTGCAATGACAGCAAAACCAAACATTAAATAAATAAAAAAAATTGTGAAGCAAAAATTATTAATTGAATGGCACAATTTAAAAATAGTATCAAAATCGTATTTGTGACAGGTCTTTTCTCATAGAAAATGTGCCTCATTCCATCCCTCATAGCTGTATATATTTATATAATTAAATTGGACTTACTCAAAACAAAATGAGCTATCCTAAAAAATCAACAATTTGTAAAAAACAGTAAGCATGAGGATTTAAACCTGATTCACTGTGTGTGTAACTGTGTTTGTTAATCTGACCTGAAAAAGACATTTGCAGGCGCTTGCTTGTTTGAGTGAATGAAAAATGTTTCCTAGCAACACTGTGCAGCACAAGAGTGTACAAAGAGAGAAACAAACACCATCTGCCCACTTCCTGCTGTTCAGGAAGCAGGAGCAGCAACAAGATGGCCGCCCTCATGTGGAGCCGGCTCAGACCCTGGTTGGTCGGTTCTCCTTGGAGACACTTCTCCAAATGCACGGTTAGCATAGACCTGATCATTATATTGACTCTACATTTCTAATTGTCGATGGATGCTGGTGAAAATCTAAGAGAATGACTGACCACAATCTGAACCCTTAAAGTTCAAAACTATTAGAAAAAGAAATATGGTCTTTGAATGTGACACAGGGCTCATCAGTTCTAAATAGTTTTCAGTGCGCTTTTCATCAAGTTATGGCCGAATCATATTCATACTGTATAATCTCCCAGATTATTTGTAAGAATCCTCTTCAAAACATCAATAATGTATAATATTAATTCGGCTGAGGCTCAAGGTGTACTCCTGAAATGGTATTTGGGCCCCATATTCAAGATTAAAATCTTAATGAAATTGAAAGCAGAGCTACAAAACAAAACAAAACCAATCTCAGTAATTTAAATAAACATCAAAACAAATTATATTGTTCTTGATTGATTCCTGCAGCTCTTGCAGGCCTCCTCACCTTGAGCCCATTAAACACAAGGACAACTGTAGCTGTGTAGAATATCAATCTGATCACAAAGGCACAATGCACATACAGACGCCTCAGAGGGTCATTTGCTGCAACATCGCCCACAGTATTTCAGGTGTGTTAACAAATGCCCTTCACCTCCTGACCCACAACATTTGGTCCAGTAGTAGACATTGTTTTGTGAGCCTTACTAGTCATCCCACAGGTGAAGGTGCTATGTAACTTGTGAAAAGACAGTTCTAGAAAAAAGCTACTGGTTAATTTTCACTGGAAAGAGTCGTGCATGCCCGGTTGATCTGTGTGAAGGTTTGTTGGATAGGAAAAGTGAGATATTCCTTTTGCTTGAATGCAGAATTTCCCCCTGAAACCTTTTAGATTTGGGAAGAAATGATATGTAATATTATTCACATAGTATATTTGCTCAATGTAATGTCTAATGTATGGAGTGGTAATGCTTCCCTTATTCTAGTACTTACATGTAGCGCAGCTGAGGGTTCTTGGAGAAGACACGAGCTTGAAGGTAATGCAGGTTGCTCCTTGTGATGGTTCTACGGCACAAACACAAGGTCAGAAGCATCACTATAACAGGTGAATGGAGTTTATGGATTCTCAGAATACTTTTGGCTGCAATTGCCCCAAAAATCACAATTCAGAATTTCATTATGTAAATCAAGTGAGAGATACAGGACTACATTTATACCATACTCCATACAACTGTACAACAACTCACCCTTATGTAACAGATAACCCAATGTCCTGTCAATCATTATACCATTTTTGCACAGTTTCTCCTTATGACTTCTTGTATACAGCTGAGATATATTTGTATTACTATGTTTCTATATTTTATTTTTACTTGGACGCATACATGCATATAATTATGCATAATCTGACACCAGCCTCTTGCTATTTTTGTTACTTAGAATTTATTATTACCATTTATATTTTTACTCTTAGTTATTATAATATATTGTGATATGTGAGCTACTGTCCAAATCATTTTGCTTGTGGATCAAGTTTGTCTAAGTCTGAGTGTAATTAATAACAAAAATAGGGAAATGTAAGTGTCTATTGCCTTTCTACCAGTGTGAATTCAGCAGGATTACCACAGCTCAGTGTGAAATCAACCTGTTCAAACTGTAATGAGGAGCAGTTTATTGGGAAATGCTCACAAGAAGCATAGTGGCAAAAGGAGCCGACAAACTCAAATGAGAAAATCTTTCAAATGCGATGACTATTAAAGTACCCGTGGCAGGTTTTCATATTTTTTATATTTTTAGTTAGTTTTGTGGAATAATACCTATCGTAAATACTTATCATCCTTTTACATGAGTCAAATTTGTGCAGAAAAGTTAAAAAAAAAAAATGGTTAAAAAAAAACACGTAATTGGACTGAAAGGAATCAATCCATGTCATCAGTATACAAAATACCCAACACTGTTTAAAAATTACATAAAAATAAAATTTTTATGAGTCAAATACAAATTACTAAGTAAATTAGATGAGCTTTGGCCCTTGTTTAAAATAATTTCTTGGTAATTATGAAATTACCTCTACCCGTCCAAACAGGAAGTAAAATTATCAAAATGACTAGACAATTAAACAAGATTTGTAGCAAAATCTTGTAAATATGTTAAAGATGCTCTGACATTTCTAACATTTCTGGTTGAGGGTCCGCTCATCGCTTGTCTCTAAGGAGATGTTATTGCTCTGCCTGGAAAGTGCCACAGTATGGTATTAGACTTGGCTATTTCCGTAAAAACATCCATGTGACACCATCAAGTTAAGTCTCTGGAGGAGCGACCCCACTCACAGTAAGAATGCATGTATTTTTGGGCAATTAAAATGTATTGTTATTGTTGTTTTTTTTTGTATTTATATATATATTTTGGGCAAGAAAATGTTTATATTCTTATACAATGAAACATATAACATAAGTGAAATCATAATAGAAATGAAAATAACTACAACTAAAAAATTGCCCAAAAAGAGTGGGAAGAAGAAAATGTATTTAATCCCACCCTCACTCTTCTAATCTAAAACAATGAGCTATCATTTGCATTTTTCAGACGTTTTGCATTAAACTATGTGAACTATTTACAAGTGGGGATAATGAGCAACTGTTGTAGCTTGGTAGTATAACATAAGCATACCAACAATGGTAACAATAGTGATACAGATATGGTAAATTGAATGAATACAAGATGGATACGTTGAATTCCGTACTGTGGAATATTACAGATAAAGCAAGAACATCATCATGGAGAAGTAGGTGGCACCTTTAACTATGTTTTAGTAAAATGTATAATGTATTCTTTCATAACATTAACAGTGTAAACATTGTAAAGCAGTATCACTCACAGTCTCTGTAGGCCGGTGTACAGCTCCATGTCCACATCTCTCAAATTCTGCAGACCTGTCCAGTTCTCTATGTATCTGTGGACAGAGAACACATGGATCAGACAGGCTGTCAATTACCATGCACTTTCAACGGAAAGAGTTCTGGGTGTTGGCAGTATTGTTACACAGTCAATTAGGTCTGTCACGAAACAAATTTGGAAGAAAATATAGACCATAAATGTTAATGCTGAACTAATTTATGCCACTGTCACAATAACTCAAAAGCAGATTTAAACCATAAAAACCATTTGCAATCTATAAAACATGAACTGTATAAAATAAACAGTAGAATGAGACACTTTAGTATTTAGTTTACATCTGTAATTCAACCTTCTAAGGCCCAAACCTTATCATAAAGCCAAGAAACAAGCATAGATTTCTCAATAGTGCAAAGAAAATGTACACATGATAAATATTGACCCCCAAAAAATATTGTTCCGGCTTTCATATATTGAAGTCAATATAGTAATTATCATGACAGGTCTACAAACAATAGCATAGGTCATGGACTGGATGCCAAAGTCATTGCATCGAGAAGGCAATATTCTCAAAAACACAACTCTAAAATTAATTCTACAACACTTCCAAAAAAACATTAACCTTCCAGCATTTCATCTTTTCTGAAAATGAAAGCCAATCCTAGTTTCCATGTTTCTTCAAATGGCTTGACTTTTACGATGGTGATGTTGAAAATGGGCATGAGCAACAGAAGTGAGTAAAACAAGCCTCTATCCTTTCTCTAAACATAAGTGTGAATGTAGATTACAGATGGGCTGACGAGAGCCTGTCTGCGCCGGAGCAGACTCAGTGGAGCGTGCTCATTGATTGTGGGTTATTTTTTACCTGACACAGCTTCTGTTTCCCCCAAGGCCCACAGACTTACAGCCTAATCAAATGAGATCAATCAAATTAGACATCTAAATACCCATTTAGACACCAGTTAGCAGTCTCCTCACACAAACCACACACCCAGCACATTTCACTTCAGACGCTTGTACAAACACGCTACAGCTGCTGTCAAGTATTAAAATAAGGTTAGACTAAATAAATAATTTACGATTTCTTTTTTGTTTTGGTTTGAAAGCAGATGGTTGTTTTGACATGGAAACTTGTCATACGTTAGGGAGACAAAACAAACAAAACCAATAATGCGTTTGCTTTTGGAGGATTTCTGGAAGATTAAACCTATTCGTTTAAAAGGGCACCGTGTAACTTTTCTGTGTAATGGTGCGCCACCTGCTTGTCTCCACTGAGATGTTTTTGTTCTCCCTAAGTTTTCCACATTATGGCATTATATTGTTTGTTTGGGTTTTTTTTTTACTCAAAAACAACTTGAATTACATGTATTCTTACTGTGAGCAGGGTCACCTGTCTCACTGACTTGTAACTTGAGTTGGTCATGTCACCTGCTTGTCTTTATGAGATAGATAAGGAGCTAAGTTTAATGCCACACTGTGGAACACCAGGGAAAGCAAAAATGCATCCATTTGAAGAAAAGTTGCAAACGAACCGCACGTTATAGCAAGGTAAGATATCAAGTTAAACCCGAGATGGATTAGACCCTTTTTGGCCAAAGATATGAAATATTAATTTTGAGAACATGTTAAAGTAGATCCAATTATTAAACATTCTATGTTATGTAAAATTGAGTCTTGTAAGTTTTAGGCCAGTTTACAATATTGTTATCAAAAACAGACCTGGAGTGTTTTTGTTTCATTCACACGTGTCAGTAATCCTTTATACCCTGTCTACATCCCGCAAAACTCAAAATGCTTAACAGCAGGGTTGAAAGCATCCACATGGTTCTAGTAAAGGTGTATGGACTTTAAAAACACAGTGAAGCACTCCTTACATTACAAAGTGTTTTCTGTTTGAGAAAAGAACTTAGCGTAAATATGTAGGATTTGTGTGTTAAACATGTGTCAAACAAAATATAACTCTGGGTATGTTTTTGAAGAGGAAACAACATTGTAACATAGGTCAGAAAATAGTGTAATATGGGTCTGTTAAAATAAACTAGAAATGGTAGTTATGTCAGCTCACTATTGCAATGTAGCTTTAACTATTCAGAGTTGTCAACTTTTAATATTGTGTTTAGATTTTATGCTGCCTGTAACCTTTACCCTCTACTTAACTATGCTCATAATATGCGTCAATTTAGCTTGTAAATGCTTTCACACCTTTGTCTCAATATATAATGAATTTTGAACCTCAACTACGATAGCTGCTTCCTACGTATTCAGTCATGGCAATGTGTTTACACTGAGTCCCAAATGAAGAGTGTTGGACAAGGAAGCGGAGATGCAGAGAGCAGGGAGTGAGTCTTATGAGCTGAGATTGTAGCACTATGAGGTGTGAAGGCCCCAATTGATTGCAGTGTTTGGTTTCATGCACATTAAATATTAATGTGACTGCATTTACTAAAGGGCCAACAGAGAGAGAGAGAGAGAGAGAGAGGTAGTGTGTTTATGTTCATATGAGTGATTCTCTCCTGTTTAGTGTGTTACTACTCTCAGTGTATATCAGTCTATAAGTCTATATCATAAAAGGTCCTATATTATGCAAAATTGATTCTTGTGAGCTTTAAGTCAGGTTAGAATGCTGTTACCTCAAAAACATACCTGGAGTTGTGTTTTGTTTGTTTGAGTAATTCTTTAGTATTAGTTTGTCTACATCTCCAAAGCTCAAAATGCTCTGTTCCACCTTATGATGTTACAAACTGGTAGGTTTCAAGTTAACAGCTACTATTAATTAGGGATGTAACAGTAATCGAAATATCATGATATCGTATCGTCAAAGTTCTCACAATAATCATGGCCCATCACAAAATATCGAATTACAAATCTCTTTGCTTAAATGAATAGTTATGGTGCAGTAATAGCTAAAAAAAAAAGACAAAGGGAACTACATAGTCCATGATCCTTTGCTCCATTTCAGTGTAGACTACATGAAGAAATAACAGTTCTAACCACTTTAAAGCACTTAGTTCTTTGGATTAAGTCTTGTCAAGGCATTTTAAGAGGAAAAAGTAGCATATTAACCCACCATATTGTTACCCACCACAAAATATCACAATAAATATACCTTGAGATGTATGTTGTGAAAACATTGTACCGAGAGATTTGGATATTGTTACATTCCCATGATATCGTACTAAATATCGTACCGTGAAGTTCATACTGTGACGATACCGTATCGTGAGACTTGGATACCATTACACTCCTACCATTTACCTTTAGTTTAGCAGAGTTTGGAAATCCAAAAAAATTGTTGAGTTGAAATCACCCAAATGACTCCAGTGAAGGTTTAAAAACACAATTTAAAAACACCGTGGAGCACTTCCTGTATTACCCCATGACATCACAAGGTGGTACAGAGCATTTTCTATTTGAGAGAAGAACTTAGCTTAAATATGCAGGGTTTGTGTGTTAAACGTGTGTGAATGAAACAAAACACAATTCCAGCTATGTTTTTGACAATGAACAGCATTATAACAGATGACAAAATCGTGTAATATGGGCTCTTTAAAGTATGGATATATTAGTGTTACAGCTGTTTTCATTTAAAGCAGATTTGAGGCAGTTCTACATCAGAAGTAGCCTTTTTACTTATTTATCCCACAAACCCACAGTACATCCACTTAGTCTTGAAGGAACAGCCTTAGTGCAACACAAGCGCCCCCACTGAAGAAGCAGCAGATAAATATATATTGTGGCCGGTGGCTGGTCGCTATGGCAACAGACCACTCTGCGTCCGTGTAGCTCGACGCTCTCACTTTGTATTCAGAAGCATGACACACTGAGAGGAGGCAGTCCAGGCCTTCATCACACAGAGCGGATCTGCATTGGCCCAGTATAGACAGAGACATGTTTAGGTTTAGGTTTAGGTTCGATCGGACACTGGACAGTCAGGGGCAAGAAGAGGTTTGGAGGTAAAAGCACGAGAACAACTTTTGATCTTCAGTTTTGTTTGAGCAAAGTCTAGACAGATGCAAGAAGTCAAACTAACAGTTCATGTTAATTTACTTCTACATGGCTGTTGGACACAAACAGCAGAAATGACACAAATTAAATTGGATAAATAATTTACAGTGGGTGTTTATTGTTCTTATTTAAAGCCTACATTGAAATGGTAAAAATAAATTTCAAAATCATTGTCTAAAAATGATCCCAATGGGAGAGAACCTAGGCCTACATTGTTTACGATTTTATCACAAGTCATGTAGTTTGTAGTTTTATATATGCCAATAAGAGGCAATTAAAGATACTGGCTGCTCCTACGAGTTCATACGATTGGTTAAACGCACAGGTCATTCACTGCACAAAAACAGAAAAGCACTGAATCATTACATATTTCACCAAAAAAAAGATTGTCACGGATATCAGATCATAAGTCAAATGTTATTACCAATCACCAAGCCCTATTGTGCGGTCAAACCTGCAAACCTGCCATTATAGGGAATAAGGCTGGAATCAGAACCACAATTGGATAACTTTATTCATTCTAAAAGGGCAATTCAGTTCAGAGCTGTTGCTAAGAAGAAAAAAATGATCGAAAAAACAATAACAGTGACGAAACCGTGTCACATCAGTCAGTGCAAGTTCAGCAGCACAGACAGGTTCACGTCCTCTTCGTTAAAGCGCTCTTGTCAAATGAAACAAATAATGAATGACTGTTTATTTCAGTTTTTGGTCTTAATGTGCCTAAAAACAACACCTACTCCGTCCTACAGCGGTTAAGGTTTGACCACTGAATTAAAAAACGTGATGGGTGTGGGAATAAAGAAGTGTGAGTATCTTTTGCAGCTCGGGCAAGATAGCACCGCCTAGAGGGCATCAGGGAGAACTCCTGCTTAAAGATATGGCCATTGGGGTCATCTAATATTCTCTTAGCTTTGTGGACCACCTGCCTCCACCACAGGGCGTCTAAGCAGGACATGTGCACACCTGTGATTTTTCAGCTGATCTTCACAGCGCTGTTCAAACGGTTCTTATCTTTAAGAGAAGAAGCTTGCAGAACCAGCAATAAAAGTGAAA